TCACCTGAGGTCAGGAGTTTGAAACCAGCCTGGCCAACATGGTGAAACACTGTCTCTACTAAAAATATTTTTAAAGTTATCCAAGTGTGGTGGCGGGCACCTACAATCCCAGCTATGTGGGAGGCTGAGGCAGGAGAATCGCTTGAACCCAGGAGGAAGAGATTGCAGTGAGCCGAGATCGCACCATTGCTCTCCAGCCTGGCAAACAGAGTGAGACTCCATCTCAAAAAAAAAGGAAGACAGAGTCCTGGCCTTTAAGTAGCTTACAACATAATTAGGGAGAAGAGGTATCTACAGACTTGTCCACAAAGATCGTTTGTGGGGGAAATTCCTGTGAACATGCAGGGTTTCAAAGGTGAAGGTGCCTCATGGATGGCAGGTCCCCCAGGGCAGGGGCTGCTCACATGGGCTCAGGGCTTGGGTGGGATTTATGCCTGTCAAGATGAATGAGAATTTAGGCTGGATGTGTAGAAAGATAGAAAAGGAGGAGGCGTAAGGATGGAAACTAAAGCCACATGCTGTCTATGCAGGGTTCCAGAAGTTTCCCTATTTCCTGGGGAGTTACTGCATTGCTCTTAGCCCTGTGACCAGCTTCTTCATTCCAAGTGTCCTCCTTCATCAAATTACTCCTCTCGCTGGATAAATCTCTAAGAAACTAAAACCCCTTAGCAGAGCAGAGTGCGGTAGCTCTGGACCCAGTCACCACGTTGAAACCGGTCGCTACCATTGATTGACAGGCCAGGTTCCTCGGGCTGGTTACATAATTTTTCTCTGCGAATGAGGAGACCGAGGAATAATGGCTCCTGCCTCAAGGGTCATTTTAAAGACTAAATGAGTGAATATACAGAGCACAGTGCCTGGCTATGAAGCATTACAGTCTTTCAGAGAAAGCTGGGCAGCTGGAGAGGTGAGGCACGGTCCGCTTTTCTCAAGACCTTCTTTGGGCACGTTAATGCCTCACCCCAAGCCGCACAACTATGCAGCCCAACCCCTGAGGGAGGAGGACGGTCTCATTCGTGTTTGTTTTGGTTGTGCATGTGCTTTGTTTGGCTTTCCCAGGGTCTCTCCAGCACCAGAGCCGCCGAGCTCCTGGCCCGGGATGGGCCCAACTCCCTCACCCCTCCCAAGCAGACGCCTGAGATCGTCAAGTTCCTCAAGCAGATGGTGGGGGGGTTCTCTGTCCTCCTGTGGGTGGGCGCCTTTCTCTGTTGGATTGCATTTGGGATTGAGTACTCCAGCAACAAGTCTGCATCCCTGAACAACGTAAGGCTCTGGGGTGGCCCCTCCTGGTTTTGCTGGCAGAGCCATCCAGTGCGGCCTCGGAGGCACAGCTGAGGGCTGGATGCCACTGCTTAGGTGTGGGAAAGTCAGGCATTTCCCCAGCTGGAAAACAGGAATTTGATCTGGCTTTCTGATGCTCCAGAGGCAGTGTGGGAATGAAAAGGGATACACAACACACCTTGAATTTTTAAGGGGGAGAAAATCTGCATCCATGTGAAGTAGTTTGGGGCTCTGTCTCCCCCAGGCTAACCTCTCCCTTTAACACGGAGAGCGACTGTGCCTGCCAAGACATGGGTACCAAATCCACAAAACTGAACTGGCCAACATGATGCCAAGAGACAGAAGTCAGAGGCAATGGGCCACGTGTCATGGGGTTGGATTGACACGAAATGTGCAGAACAGGCACATCCTTGCAAGCAGGAACCAGATCGGTGATGCCAGGGCATGGGACAGGAGCAGGGAGTGACAGCAGAGGGGCCGGGGGGATCTCCAGGCAGGGTGGAGATGTCTGAGGCTGCGGTGGAGGGTGGCTGCATGGCTCTGTAAACTTAAAAAATCAGTAAGCTGTGCACTTAACATGGGCAAATTTTGTGGCCTGTAAACTACACCAGGGCATAACCGCCAGCGTTGCACCCGCCCATGGAGAGCTCTAGCCCCAGGGCCTGTCTCCTTCCCACTGCTGGTTTCTTTGACTGACGCCCTCCTCCTCAACCAGGTGTACTTGGGCTCTGTGCTTGTCCTGGTGGTCATTTTCACGGGGATCTTTGCTTATTACCAAGAGGCAAAAAGCACCAACATCATGTCCAGCTTCAAAAAGATGATCCCTCAGGTGAGTGGCAGCCACCCGTCCTCTGGCCTCTGGTGACTCCCAGGTGAGGAAGCCTCAGCTGAGAGGGGCACAGGGCGCTGAGGGCCAAGTGTTCCCACTTCCGTCCCTGTCAGAGCCATCGTGGGTGAATTAACCCATCTGTCGGAACCCCAGTTCCTCACAGGGTTTTGGTGGTCAAATGAGGTACCACCCAGGGCAGTGCTGGTCAGCGCATGGCATCTTCTGTTCCTGCTCCTCAGTGTTTGTGGACAGTCGCTCTGGGTTCCAGAAGGGACCTGCGGAAGGTCCGGGAGTGTTCCTTCACGGGCAGCCAAGGAGACCAGCCTGCAGTTGTTTATCTGTGACCATGTTTGGGTCACATGTTTGCTACTGAGCCCCAGAATGCAATCGGTGGGGAAGCCCAGTGCTCCCCTCTTCCCCAAAGACCCCTGTCAGGTGTCCGCACTGTCTCTGGCCCAGAGAACTGCAGGCTGGAGGAGAGATTCTGGGTGGAAAAGATGCCTCTTGCCAAGCTTGAAGCAGGAGATCACCTCGTTCAAGTTTCCCTGACCCTCGCAAGATTATCAGCCTCCCCAGTCCCACCCTCAGTGCTCTGCCCCGACGCCCAGCCAGGATGGCTCACCCTTAACGGTCTCCTTTTCTAGGAGGCCCAGGACTCTGGCTTGGCCAGATCTGGCCAACAGTGACTCTTCTGTTCCAAGAAAATCTCCGTGAGCTCAAGGAAAACTAGTTCTTAGAGTCTCCAGGCCTCGGGTGAAGCAGTCTTCTGTTTCATTCTTGCTATTCTGACAGCCTCAGGCTCCAGCCGAATGCTGTGTCCACAGGGCCAGGTGCAGGCTGCCTAACAGCATGGACTCAACAGTGACAGTGACCAGGAAGTTCCAAGGCCTCTGTCCTGGGGTTTGGTGCGGCACAGATGGGGAGGAGGGCCGGTGTCCCTCCAGGGTCTGAGGCGTCTGTCATGGTTTTCTTCTGTAGCAAGCTCTGGTCATCCGCGATTCCGAGAAGAAGACCATCCCTTCAGAGCAGCTGGTGGTGGGGGACATTGTGGAGGTCAAAGGAGGAGACCAGATCCCCGCAGACATCAGGGTGCTGTCTTCTCAGGGGTGCCGGGTAAGCAGCAGGGGGCACCCACCCCAAGGACCATGTTCCAAACCCGCTGGCTCTGTGGTCTTTCCCAGCATCAGTATAAGAGGCGGGGAATGAGGTACCCAGCTGTGAACCATTCTCAACGTTCCTTCTAGGTGGATAACTCGTCTCTCACGGGGGAATCTGAGCCCCAGCCCCGCTCCTCTGAGTTTACCCATGAAAACCCCCTGGAAACGAAGAACATCTGCTTCTATTCCACAACGTGTCTGGAAGGTAAAAGGCCTCTGGCTCTCAGCCCACATGTCCACCTGTGTCCCTTCTCCCTCCTGGGCTCTCAGATCTGTCCTTTGCCTGTTACAAAGCTCATCCCAGAGGAAGCATGGAACTGAAGGGCCTAGAGGATGATGCGTGGCCTGTGGAATGTGGTGTGCCTATTGACTGTGCCAGCCGCCAGAGAGGGCTGCAAGCTGGCTGCACACCCCTCCTAGCTGAGGACCCCTGGAATAAAACGTCTACTTGCCCCGTAGGCACCATCACCGGCATGGTCATCAACACGGGTGACCGCACCATCATTGGCCATATCGCCTCTTTGGCCTCAGGAGTTGGAAATGAGAAGACGCCCATTGCCATTGAGATCGAGCACTTCGTTCACATTGTGGCAGGAGTGGCTGTCTCCATCGGCATCCTTTTCTTCATCATCGCAGTGTCCATGAATTATCGAGTCCTGGATTCCATCATCTTCCTCATTGGCATCATTGTGGCCAATGTGCCCGAGGGCCTCCTGGCCACGGTCACTGTGAGTCCATGCTGTTAGACGGCCTGCACCCGGCCCTGTGGACATAGCGTTGGTACTGGGGAGGCGCCCACACAAACTGCAATCTCCCCCAAGTCCAGAGCACCACGCCCTCCCCGCCAGGGACAACCATGGAACATTCTGAATAGACTGTTTCTTACGGAGAAAGAAACAGTTTTGTAAAAAAAAATGGCTGTATTTTTAATATTTGACTGTGTTTTCCATGAAAACGTTATGCTTTCAATCTGCAGTTCACGTAGCTTACACTGCCCCTTAAGATCTGGATAAGACAGGCTCCACCATTCACAGATTTTCTGGAAGCCTGATGCCTTCCCCACGTTTCTTTGGCAGTTTCTACAACTTAGGCATTTAGGCACGTTGCCATACTCCACTGACCTCTCTTAGGAAAAAAAAAAATTCCTCTCATTTTTCCTGCCGAGGACTCCAGCCCTTTCCTGGCCAACCCTAGACCCAGCTCTGGCTCTGCGTGTATGGCCTATGTCATTCAGTCCCGACACAAGAGCCCCTCCTCCTCAGTCTCTGCCATGGGGGTCCCACGGGGTAGGAGAGGACAGGATTCATGTTTCCGGTTTTGTGACTACATGATCATTGGCCTGCTGTTGTCCTGACCAAAGAAAAGAGAAGTTTTTGAAGTCCAGGTCTCTTCTGACTCCAGGAGATAGTAATTTGGGGAAATGGGAGCCAAAAGAACCCTTTGAGATCTGGGGGTTTAAAAGGATCTTTAAAATATGGAGCTTTTAAAAATGAAAAGCTCATTTTTTGTGTTGTTTCAACACAAAAGCTGATGAATTCCCCAAAGCCATAAGTGTGTCCTTTGGGACAACTGGCAACATGCACCAGCCAGTCTCTGGAGCACACTCCTGCTTAGGGACCACAGGTGGTGTCGTGGTTGTATGTGGGCACCAGCCACAGCAGCGTTGTCTGTGTTGCTGCCCGTGGGTCCCTTGTTTTCTTCAAGTCATGAAGGAACAAGAAAAGTGTCTCGTATTTAATCTTTAAAAAAGGATTGTGGCATAGAGGGCTGGCTCTTGGTGGCATGTAAGCCACCAGGTCAATTTAGCTGTGCCAGCAATCACACCTCTCCCCTAAAACTAGTCCAGCTGTCTCCTAAAATTCAATCACAGCTGACATTGGCTATTTCTGTATTATTGGACCTGAGTTCACATGAGGATTTTTCCCAAAGCGTCCTTCCTTCTCCTGCTAGGTGACCCTGTCGCTGACAGCAAAACGGATGGCCAAGAAGAACTGCCTGGTGAAGAACCTGGAGGCTGTGGAGACCCTCGGCTCCACCTCCATCATCTGCTCAGACAAGACCGGGACGCTGACCCAGAACAGGATGACAGTGGCCCATCTGTGGTTCGACAATCAGATCTTTGTGGCTGACACCAGTGAAAACCATTCAAGTAAGTCCTATGGAGAGCTTGGTCTGGTCAGAGCTGTGGACTCCGTCCTGGGGCTGAGCTGAGCACGCAGCAGGGTCTGTAGCCGGAGGATTGCTGGACTCACGGACGACCAGCCCAACCCACAGCAGCCACTGTTCTTTCTCTGTCTTCCAGGCCAGGTCTTTGACCAAAGCTCTAGGACTTGGGCCTCCTTATCCAAGATAATAACATTGTGTAACCGAGCCGAGTTCAAGCCAGGACAGGAAAATGTCCCCATCATGAAGGTAATGCTTCTGCAGCACTCGGTCTTAAATCACAGCCAGTTTGGGTCACTTGCTGGGGTCTGATTGTGTGCTTGATTTCATCTCTCCAGTTGCATAAAGTTTGTCCAGTGCTTGCAAGAGCAAGCTGGACTTACAAGACATACAGAAAGTTTTCTTCATGCACACTAGCTTTGAGAATACAAAGATGCTTAAAAGGTTTCAGAATATTGCTTTAGGGTCTTTAGAAAAGTCTGGAAATGAGGCCGGGCGCGGTGGCTCAAGCCTGTAATCCCAGCACTTTGGGAGGCCGAGACGGGCGGATCACGAGGTCAGGAGATCGAGACCATCCTGGCTGACACGGTGAAACCCCGTCTCTACTAAAAAATATGAAAACTTAGCCAGGCGAGGTGGCGGGCGCCTGTAGTCCCAGCTACTCGGGAGGCTGAGGCAGGAGAATGGCGTAAACCCGGGAGGCGGAGCTTGCAGTGAGCTGAGATCCGGCCACTGCACTCCAGCCTGGGCGACAGAGCGAGACTCCCTAAAAAAAAAAAAAAAAAAAAGAAAATTCTGGAAATGAATGCACCTCTAAGTTACTTTCTTGACTTTTCTGCCAGCTAAGTGGATGTAATCAAAGTTCCTTTTAATATACATGCCATTCATGGAAATTTAAAATGTGATTGGATAAAAATAGAAGGACTCCTGTTAACTAGAATATGGCTGCAGACAAAGCTCTAGGGGTCCTGGAATATCGGAACATACAAAAAACTCTCCCCCTCCTGCCCTCTCCTCCTTCCCTTTCTCCCTTTTCCTCTCCGTCTCGATGAGTCACTGAATCTCTGTTCTCCTGGCTTTTCTATTTGCCATCTGTTTCCTTCCCTGACTCTTTTTCTTTCTTACTTTTTGTTTGTTTGTTTGCTTTTCCCTCCGTCAGGCAGTTCATTAATGCTCTTTTTGGCCAATTGCTTCTTTGTCAATATCTTCCAAATCTTTTTTTTTTTTTTTTGAGACGGAGTCTCGCTCTGTCGCCCAGGCTGGAGTGCAGTGGCCGGATCTCAGCTCACTGCAAGCTCCGCCTCCCGGGTTTACGCCATTCTCCTGCCTCAGCCTCCCGAGTAGCTGGGACTACAGGCGCCGCCACCTTGCCTGGCTAGTTTTTTGTATTTTTTAGTAGAGACGGGGTTTCACCGTGTCAGCCAGGATGGTCTCGATCTCCTGACCTCGTGATCCGCCCGTCTCGGCCTCCCAAAGTGCTGGGATTACAGGCTTGAGCCACCGCCCCCTGCCATTCCAAATCTTTATGTCCAGTTCTAATTTCTTACCTCAGCTCCAACCTGGATCTCTGGCTGGCTGTGTGCTTCCACTAGGAAGCTGCACAAATCATGCTCGTTTACTTCCACCCGTACCCAGCCTAGCTGCACATCAATGCCTTGCCCTAATTTTCTAATTTTCTATGCTACAACCATTCTATTTGTCACTGGGCCAGAACATTTGGAAGTCATCTTTGACTTTATCCTTTCCTTATATCCAGTGAGTCACCAAGTTCTATCATTCTTGCTTCAAAATATACGTAACTTTACCTTTTATCAGCAGTACCTTGCATCTAAATAGCTGTATCAACCTCTTAATTGATTGAAATTAAGCCTCCTTGATTCCAGTTTATCCCTCCTGGAGTCTTTCTCAAATGCCACTAATTTTCCCTAAATGGTGCTTTTTATATTCACTTAACTTTGTTCAAAATCTTTCTGTACTTCCCTGTGCTCTGCTTCTCAAGTCTAGACCTCAGGCTACCCTTCAGGGCCCACCAGGTCTTTCCCCGCCCTCCACATCCAATGAACGCTCACAGAGGAGCCTGCACCTCACGTCCCTGCACCTGCGTCCTGGTTTCTAGAAGGCTTTCTTCTCTGTGTATTGGTAACCCACCTGTCTATCAAGATCTAGTTCGTAGCTGCTTGTTTCCACGAAATCTTCAGTCCTCACAGAGATCCAGCTTCTCCAAACATCCCTAATGCCAGTAGGTGGCACCATTGTTTGCACGCGTACCACTGTCCTGTGGCCCTCCCTGATCACGTGATAATGTCTCTCCAGCTAGATGGTAATGGGATCAGGAGGTGTGTCTTGGGTCCTGCGTTGAGGGCATGTTGGTTCATTAAATATGTGCTGCAAATATTTTTCTTCTTTGATTCCCAGAAAGCTGTGATTGGAGATGCCTCAGAAACTGCTCTTTTAAAATTCTCAGAGGTCATTTTGGGTGATGTGATGGAAATTAGAAAAAGAAACCGCAAAGTAGCTGAAATCCCTTTTAACTCTACTAATAAATTTCAGGTGAGTTTTTCCTCACACCTGGCAATCTCTGTTACTGGCAGCATGACCTTTCTACTTGCATGTATCCTTTGCTTACCTCATATTTTGAAGGATACCTGACTTCAAAGACAGCCGTCAGGGATACAGCACCCGGGCATCTGGTCCCCTAGGTCAAGCTACTTGCTGGCCTCCTTCCTAGCCCTGAAACAGGGCAGAAAAAGAAAGAAAAGCAAGGACGTCATCAGGACTTGGCTGCATCTATGAATGAGCCATCTTTGTCACAGGCACACACACTCTCTCTCACACACACACGCGCGCGCGTGCGCACACACACACATGCACACACTCACACGACCACTAGCAGGTACCTTCTGCCGCGAGGAGCAGCAGCCACACTCCAAAGCATGAATGCAGGTGGGCAGCGGGGAGGCGGAACACCCGCTCCTCACACCTCTAGTGCATCAGGCCCTTGACCTACACGGCCTCGTTCCATGTTCGCATCCGGCCTGTGAGGTAGGACTGACGAATCCTGACTCATAGAGGAGGAAGCAGGCCCTTAAAAAGTGTTGAGAGGCCAGAATTGCACAGCACCCGGTGTTGCCAAGGCTGACACCAAGTCCACGATTCTCCCACCATCACACAGACGGAGTGTGGCACAGTTCAGGCCATGGGAGCAAGCCCTGCCCTTTGGGGAGACCACTGAGCGGCCCCTCAGCTGCCAGCCCCGTCGCTCTCCGGGGCCATCCCCTGTGCTGTGGGTGGGGGTCTCCTTTGCGTCCCCTGCTCAGGTAGAAGATGACCATCCTTGCTTGGTTATCTCAGCATGCGGGGCTGACGAACAGTCAGCCGTCACAGCCTCCCCATGTTAACACAAATGACAGTTGGAAGCCCCAGGTCCCCATGCAGATGGGATTTTCCACAGAGCCCATGCTGAAAGCAGGATCTGGACTTGAGCTTTGCACAATAGTCAAGTATAGAAATAGAATAACCACAACTGTATGTGTGGAGATTTCTGCTGATTATCCACCCATCTTAGTACGGATGGAATTTAGGGTTAGAGAAGAACTCTTTTTTTTTTTTTTTTTTTGAGAAGGAGTTTCACTCTTGTCACCCAGGCTGGAGTGCAGTGGTGTGATATCGGCTCACTGCAACCTCCACCTCCCAGGTATAAGCAATTCTCCTGCCTCGGCCTCCTGAGTAGATGGGATTACAGGCATGCACCCCCTTGCCCAGCTAATTTTTTGTATTTTTAGTAGAGACAGAGTTTCACCATGCTGGCCGGGCTGGTCCCTGACACCCTGACCTCAGGTGATCCATCCACCTTGGCCTCCCAGAGTACTGGGATTACAGGTGTGAGCCACCAAGCCCAGCCTAGAGAAGAACTCTTGTGTTGTGAACGTCTTCTTTGTGGATAGTGAGCCAACAAAGAATCACAGTTAGCTAAATAGACAACCAGAAACGTATAATGTAAAATACTCGAGCCAAGAAATCACATCTCTTATGTAAAACGTAAGTAAAAATAGAGGGGGTAACGGTCCTAAAAGACTGTTTTAGGACGACTATTATTATACTAGCAATGCTAGTAATAATAGGAGCTGTTCTGTGCTAATTTCCACACGTATTAAATCATTCATTCTCACGATGACGCTGTGGGGTGGGTAGAGGATGAGGAAGTTGAGGTGCCGTGCATCCGTGCATAGTGTGAAGATGGGGTTCGATGATGCCTCCATCAGCAGCAGGACTCGGAACCCTGCTGAAGCTCCGTCAGGGAGATAAAGCAGGTTCCATGAGGCCTCGTGTGCAAGTTGGAGGAGAAAGTGGCTACATAGAGTGGGACTACAAAGGGGAGAGGGGCCTGTGTGAGTCCCTGCTGAAGAGGTCGAAGGTGCTGTCTGGATGCTGTTAGGGTCATTTTATGTCTACACATGAGCAGTGCTCAGCCTCACCTGGACTTCACATGTCATGGCCTTGGAAGGAGACATCTCTGCTGGAAGGAAAGAAAATGGAAAGCCTATATCTTATTGATTAGAATAGTGATCAATACTGTGATGCTCCAAACACACTGGTCCGTTAAGACATTTAAAACGTTTATGGCAAATTGGAAAATGTTTTAAAAAGTTTTATATAACGGTGAATGTATTTCATTTAAAAGATTATCCTTTGTAGCCTCCATGATTAAGGGCAGGGACTCTGAAGCCTGCTAGCCTGGGCTCAAATCCCAGCTCAGCCACCAGATAGCCACCTATTGCTCAGTGACCCTGAGTGAAGCACTGAACCTCTGTGCCTCAGTTTCCTCCTTTGTAAAAGGGAATAATAATAGTACCCATGGCCTTAAAGTTGTTTTGAAGACAAATGAGTCGATGTGGACAGCACTTAGAACAGTGCCTGGCACGTGGTACACACCATAAAAGTGTTTTATATTATCCCTGTGTTTTAAATGTAAAAAGCCTTATCTTGGCCGGGTACAGTGGCTCACACCTGTAATCACAGCACTTTGGGAGACCGAGGAAGGCAGATTGCTTGAGCCCAGGAGTTCAGGAGCAGCCTGGGCAAAATACCAAGACCTTATCTCTACAAAAAAACAAAAAACGAAATTAACTGGGCATGGTGGCACATGCCTGTAGTCCGAGCTACTTGGGAGGCTGAGGTGGGAGGATTGCTTGAACCTGGGAGGTCGAGGCTGCAGTGAATTGTGATCTCGTCACTGCACTCCAGCCTGGGTGACAGAGCCCCGTCTCAAAAAACAAAAAACAAACAAACAAAAAAAAAAAAATGAAGAGAGAAAAAGAAAAGGCCGATGTTTTAGAAAGCGATAGTGATAATAGACGGGAGGATTTTTGTTTGGTTTGGGTTTTGTTGGTTGGTTGGTTTTCTCAATGTCTTTACTTGATCATTAAGAAAAGAAGTTGGCCGGGCGAGTGGCTCAAGCCTGTAATCCCAGCACTTTGGGAGGCCGAGACGGGCGGATCACGAGGTCAGGAGATGGAGACCATCCTGGCGAACACGGTGAAACCCCGTCTCTACTAAAAATAATACAAAAAAATTAGCCGGGTGCGGTGGCAGCGCCTGTGGTCACAGCTACTCGGGAGGCTGAGGCAGGAGAATGGCGTGAACCCGGGGGGCGGAGCTTGCAGTGAACCAAGATGGCGCCGCTCACTCCAGCCCGGGCCACAGAGCGAGACTCCGTCTCAAAAAAAAAAAAAAAAAAAAAGAAAAGAAAAGAAGGAGCAGCAGCTGGTAACCCTATTTGCCCTATGCTGCTTCTTTTTGTACTCATCTTTGCACTTACCTTTGAACCCAAAAGTCTATGAAATACTGATTTGTAAAGAACTGTTAGACCCAAAATTGGAACACTTTTTCTTTGCCATGTATTTTCTCCCAGACACTCCAGCTTCCTGAGATTCCTCTTGAGTGCTTAGAAGAGTAAGGGCTAGATAAGAGTTAGTCCTTTTATTCTTGTATATCGATTTTTTTGCATATCTTATTAGGATGGATCTAGAAGTAGAATTGCTGGGTCAAGAGCATTCCTATTAAAATGGAGACGTCTGTGACTCGGCTGTCTTCCTCAAACACTATACGTGAAAGTGGCCACTTCCTCACACCGCCATTTTCTATGACATCCAAGCAGGAAAACTGGGCGGACAATGAGGTGAAGAGGGGCAGGAATCCTGCCGCCTCCTGCCCTCCTGAGCTCAGAGTAGTTTGGGTCTGAAAGATGGCTGCTCCCCACAGAGAGGTAGAGGAGGTGAGATGCAGAGACTCGCAGCCCCCTAACTCTCACGGGCACCCTGGGAGATCTTGTTCAAGGCACAAGATTTCACACGCTGACGGCCACATCTAGCCTGCCTAAAGCGGCCAGTTTTGCTTGAAAGATGAGCTTCACTTACTGCAGATTCCAACCCAGGGTGCCCCACTCTGGGCTGGGGCCAAGTCTAGAGCTCTTCGTCTTACTTGGCCACAGAAAGAAAAAGGGTGGAACATGCAGAGGATGCCATTGTTCCTCCTCCTCCTTTACATTTAATGGACCAGTAGAGAAGAAGGAATGCGTTTCACCTGTCTGTAAGTAACACGCTCTGTTCATTCCTTCCCAGCTCTCCATCCACGAGACGGATGACCCCCACGACAAGCGCTTCCTCATGGTGATGAAGGGGGCCCCTGAGCGCATCCTAGAGAAATGCAGCACCATCATGATCAGTGGCGAGGAGCACCCACTGGATGAGAGCACCGCCAAGGCCTTCCACACGGCCTACATGGAGCTGGGCGGGCTGGGCGAGCGTGTGCTGGGTGAGTGCGGCGGCAGGGTCCTGCCCATCACCTGGTGGGCACAGGGATGAGGCAGGCACCTTGGGGACCTGTGACCTCGCCGAGTGGCCATGGCATCCACGTGAAGCATGTAAAGGAGAACGTGATAAGCAGGATGGGAAAAAGGAGAGGATGCTGTGTGACAGCACCAAGCAGGGTGAGGTGGCCTCCAGAGAGGCGAGCTCAGGGAAGACTTTATGGAAGGAGTTAAATTTCAAACTGGGCCTTAAGTGACTGCATTTGACGGGAGATGGGGAAAGTTTCCAGGGCCCAGGGAACAGCATAGGCCAAGCACAGAGGCAGAACAGCGTGGGGCACAGGGGGTGCTGCCAGCAGGTGAGACGGCACCGTCACGGAAACAGGGCTCAAGGACTAGATTGGAGATGATGAGACGGAGGTCTTGAACATGTGGGTGAGGAGCCAGGTTTCGTCCTGCAGTCAGTGGAGAGCACCGAGGGCTGTGCCACCAGAGTGAGCCGGGCAGTAACGGGCTGGGGAAGACTTTGTGGAAGGAGTTAAATTTCTTTTAGGAGGCAGTTGCCCTTGTTCAGGCAAAAGGGATGGGAATTTGATCAGGGTGATGGGAATGGGAAGGAGAGATCAGGGGCAAGAGAGTTCATAGAGGTAGAATTGGTAAGACTTAGAACCAATTAGAGGAGGATAGTCAGTTTAAAAATGATTAAGCTTCCCATTTAGCGACTAGGAAGAGAGGGATGCCAGTGATGCAGACAAAGTGTCAGGAGGGAAGAAACCTTAGAAATGCAACCACGGGGGGAGGACCCAATGGGGGTGCCTGTAGTGTTGTCAAAGGGGACAGCACCCGGGCTGGTGGAATGGTGCCCCATCAGGACCACAGAATGACAATTCAAGGAAACAGAAGTGTATGGTTGATGATCCAGCTCATTAAACACCATGGAAGCCCTCAGCAATATAGATGCAATCTGTGGAATGTGTGTTTCTAGAGGCTACTAGAGTTGGCAAAGCAGATAAAGTAACCCACAGCACCGGGTACTCTACACGGGACTGACGCCCACTTGTGTTTGACCTCTCAAAGCCTGCTCCACTGACGTTTGCAAAGCAGTGGGCCAGGCTGAAAATAAACTGGATGTGAAAGCTGATCACACGATCTTGGAGGTCCCACCAGACACAAGAGTCCCTTCCACCTCAGCCCATGAGAGGCTGATGCCTTCTGAGAAAAGGGTGGCTCAGCCCCATTCCTGCTGGCCTTTCTTTTGGGCTTATCTTGATCTAACACTGAACTTTGTGCCCCTCCCCTGAAGCCCCTTGTTTCTTCACATGCTGTTTTCTCTGATGAAAATGGCCTTCCTACCTCCACCCTCCCTTTTTACCCTAGAAATCATCTGTGCCCCTCTCAGGGTTCAGCTTGCATGTGACCTCCTCGGGGAAGTCTGTCTTGACCCTCCAGGGGTCAGGACGCAGCTAAAGTGTGTCTCTGCCCTGAGACGGGCCCTGTGCTCGATCCCTTTAACTCTGTGCCCTACTAAGCTTCAGAAGTGGAGACTGTGTACGCCCGAGAACTTGGCAATATAGCAAGATATATTTCTTTTTTTTTTTTTTTTTTT